GTGAGGACACAAGCAGTTTTCTGGAGAGACCCATGTGGTGAGGAACTGAGGCCTCCTTCCAAAGCCAGTGAGGAACTAAGGCCTTCTGCCAACAGCCATGTGAGTGAGCCATCTTGCAAGCAGATCCTCCAGCCCCAGTTAAACCTTCAGATGACTGGAGCCTTGGCTGAAAGCTTCACCACATCCTCTTGAGAAACCCCAAGCCAGAACCACGCAGTTAACTGCTCCTGGGTTTCTGGCTCACAGAAACTGTGAGATAATGCTTATTGATGCTTCAAGCTGGTAAGTTTCAGGGTAATTTGTTACACAGCAATAAATAACTAATACAACCAGCCAGCATAATCCATGGTGTTAGAAGTATTTGTGGCAGGTAAGGATGCCTTGTGAAGTTTCTGGCAAGCTCCAACAGAGTCACAGTGCAGTCTCCAAGGGTTCTTGAGTAAGGCTACACCATCTTCAGCAGAGAACTAGTCACTGTTCAAATGGCAGCTCTAGGCATGCTACCGCATCCATCCTAGTATGAAGAGCCTAACAACTGATCATCAAGTAACTGTCTGACCAAAGCTACTCATCACAAGCTGTGTACTATCAGACCCACCAAGCAACAATGTTGGGTGAGCATAGCAACAATCCATTTCATGATGGAAATGGTGTATTTGGGATCAGATTTAAGCTGGCCCATAAGTTGCATAAGCAGTATTAATTTTTAATTAGATTGCAGTAAGTTGAGGATGGGATATTGTAATCTCAGGGAAACTACTAAAAGAATAGTAAAAGAATGTGTAGTCTGATATTTTATTTTTAATCTCACAACCACTGAAAAGGACAAAAAATTTATTCAAATTACAAAAATATGGCTAGCAAATTTTACTTAATTTCCTTTTTAGAGAACTAATGGAAATTTCTCATTTGTATGAAGAAAAAGATCTGCTTTAAAATGCTCTCCTCGATATTAGATATTTTTAATTCAAAAACGAAGGGCTACTGAGTGGCTGTGACTGGAAAACATTGTAGTAAAAACCATCTGGAGAGAAACACAAAACAGAAGACACAATCCTTGCTTAATTAACCTAAAACTCTACCAAAATGGAACACACAATTGAGAGGGTGGTTTTAATTAAGTTCTTTGTTTTAAACAATAGAGACCCATTCAAGCTGCCTCAAGTGGAAGTATATTTATTTCAGGATCCGTCAGGAGACCTCATGAGTAGGAAACAGAAAATCCTGACATATAATCTACAGGCAGTAGTGGCTAAAAGCCAGGGCTCTGGAATCAGAAAGACCTAGCTTAGCTCTTCCAATTTCTAGTCGTTACTTGGAAAGTTAGTTAACCTCCCTAGGCTCTAATTTCATCTTATTTAAAATAATAATCATAGTTACCTCATAGAGTCTCAAGGATTAAGTTAGATGATATAGGTAAAGTGTTAGGTAGAGTGGCTTTCTCAAAGTAAGTGCTCAATATATGTCAGCTAATACTGTTATTCTTATCCCAAGAGCAGCTGTGTCCGTTAAGGACTGTACCTCCCCCCAAAATTTATATGTTGAAATCTAATCCCCAATGTGATGGCGTATGGGGATGGGGACTTTGAGAGGTGATTAGGTCATGAGGGTGGAGCCCTCATGAAAGGAGATTAGTACCTTTATAAAAGGCTAGAGAGCTAGCTTGCCCTCTTTCTGCCATGTGAACCAAGCACACAAGACGACAGCCCTCTGTAAACCAGAAGAGGACACTCCCCAAGAACTCAACTGTGCTGGCACCCTGAGCTCGGATTTCCAGCATCCAGAACTGTAAGAAATAAATGTCTGTTGTTTAAGCCACCCAATCTATGGTAATTTGCTATAACAGTCCAAACTAAGACACCTTTTGTATTAGTCAGGGTTCTCCAGAGAAACAGAACTAGTAGGGTATATGCATATACAGAGAGAGACAGATTTATTTTAAGGCATTAGCTCATGCCATCGTGGGCACTGGCAAATCCAAAATTTGTAGGGTAGGCCAGGGCAGGCTAGAAATTCAGGTGTGAGTCGACGTTGCAGTCTTGAGGGCAGAGGCAGCAGACCGGTAGGCTTTTGCTGGTGCTTATTTTTGTCTGGAGCTGTTGGTATTTCCACGTTGCTGGCTTCCTCAGCTCCAAGTCTAGGATATATGAGGCACAAAGAAAACCCAGAGAACAGACCAAGTATCATTGCCTGGATCTCGAGGTCCCTAGCCAGTCTGCCTTCTTCTCTCCATCCTACAGAGTCTTCTTATGTTTGTTTTATATATTATGTCCAGAAGTTTTAGTTTTACTTAGTGAGAAGAATTGGGAAAAGTACGTCTGTTCCATCTTCCCAGAAGCAGAAGTGTTCAGATTATTTTTTAAATGTAGCTGAACTTGTTTCCTTTTGTGGCTTCTGGGTTTAGCATCATATTTAGGAAGGCCTCCTTCATGCCGAAGTCATAAAGAATTCTCTCATGGTTTCTTCTGGGATTGATCATTTTTTTCATATTTAAATCTCACCCAAAACTTTGTCCTTAAAAGACATACAACACCCGCTCTATGAACTAGGTTAGAGCTACTTTTTGGGGAAAATAGTATTTCCTGTTTATCTACTGAAGTAACGATGAGAAGAAAGAAGAAATTTGCTTTTTACTAAATTAAGATCTTGCTTTTTATCTGCACAAATTATGTTTCAATATTATCAGTGTACACAAATGTGCACCAATCTTCATACGATTTCAAGCAAATATGAGTCTTTCCAAAATAAACATGGGTAAAGAGATGCAAAAACACTTGTGTTGGTGGTTTCCTTTCCAACCAAAATGGTAACTACAATCTAATTCAAAACTTGAACTGCCATATTTTTTTCTGAGTATATAAATCTCAAAAATTTAAATTATATGCCTTCATTTTCCTTTTAGCTATATTTATATGTATTTAACTTTTAAAATTTGGTTCCATTTGTTTTCTAGTTGTCACAAGATGTATTAATAAGGATTCTTTGGTTCTAATTTATAGAAATCCAAATGTGAAATTTGCTCATGTAACCAAACCACATAAACCCAGTGCAGACTGTGTCAGAGCCCAGTGGATTCAACAGCTCAAACAGTATCCCCCCTCTATCCCTCTCCTGCCCGTATCTGCTCAATGGCTGCATTCTCTCAGGCGCTTCCACATGACAGTTCTGACAGCTCTGGAACCGAATCTCTGTAATTTATCGTTGTCCCAAGGGAGAAACACACACACACACACACACACACACACACACGCACGCACGTCCATGTACACACACACACACACACACACACACACACACACAAAGCCTCCCCTCTTCAGTGTCAGGAAATGTAAAATCTCTGGGAAGGGCTCTGACTGGCCCAGTTGTGGCCACAGAAGCAGGTCACTACTACTGGCAGCAACTATAAAACCACTTGAATGGGAAGACGTATAGTTCCCACTCAAGAAGGGCACTGATTTCCTTCAGAAGCAGGGGAGATGAGATCCAGAGAAGATAAAAACACTGCAAGTATATCTACTTTAAGAATTTCTATTAAGTTTACTATCTTATAATACTAAAACTCAAGTAAACTCATATACATGATGGATGACTAAAACTAGTCATCTTTTCAAGGGCCTAGGGAATATCCACTACATCCTATAAAATAACAGCTTGTCTTCAGAGCTCCATTATCTTATGTCTGCAGAGACACTATAGTGAAGGTAGCATATTAAGAGCATACAACGTAGCAGTCAAAACTGCAGACCTCACTGCATCCCAGCTCTGCACGTTTGGATAAGTTAGTTGACCTCCTTAGACTTTAACTTCCTCATCGGTGCTATGGGGATAAAAATAAAGTCTAATTCACAGGGTTGTCACCAACATTAAACAAGATAACTTCAGGGATACAGTAACTTGCACTGTTAGCTATTATTATTACCTACTGAATCAAAAAACAGAATCCAATTTCCTAATACCCCCACTGGCCAATTTAATATTCTATTACATCAGCTCTAGGTATAAGACATATTGGAACAGTAAGACTATTCTAATCCTTTAGGTCCTACTTCTGTTTGAGAAAAGTTTCTTGATAGCATACTGAAAACAATTCAACATGCTAAAGAAAAAGAATAACCAGATGACCATCTGTTTTGATGGTATTGTAATGGAAACATCTATTTTAGGTTATTTACGACAAAGGAAGGGATTATAATCAGAACCAATCCAATTTTCTCTTCATCTTCATTTTCTGACAACCCCTTCCCTGAAATACACCCATGGAAAATTTTGATATTGACATGGCTTATACCTGAAGTCCTCTTTGTCCAACATAAATGTTCCTATTTATGCCATCATAACTATGTTAGAGATCCGATTCGTATTAGCTTTCATTTCAATGAGGAGGAAAATTACCTCTGCGTTGCCACATCTCTTGATTTTCCTATTTCCTTCTGCTTTTTCACAACTCTCTATGGTATCCAAAGACAGGGACATGGTGATAACACAGAATGATGATAACACAATCACAAAAAATATTAGAAAGGGGAACTCAGGTAAAAAACATATTTGTGGGAGAGGGTGGTCTGGGAGGACTATTTTACTATCCAGAGAAAAATGTTTATGAGTGTGTAAACGAGGTACCTTGATGAATGAAGGAAGGCTTGTCATGACTGACAAGTTCAGATAAAATCTGCCTGCTGAATTCCTACCCAGTTAACCCTTAACATTGAATTTACTCACATGAAGTCTTCCTGGAGCGTGGTGTAAGGTGTGCAGAAGATGTACGTGTTGGTGCTGGGAAAGAAGTAACTGAGTATAAGGAAGAGGAGAACCAGTAAGACAAGAATGTGAACACGGAAGTCAGGTGAGGATTCTAGGCATTTTAATTTACAATTGCACATACTAAAATAATTATTACTTTGTTCTCAAATGTTTGCTAAGTTTCCTAATATTTGTTAAGTTCTCTAATATTTCTCTAATATTTGCTACCCTCCAACAGCAATAAACTATGAAACAAGATGTGAGTTGGTTATACAATAGGTACAATTTATTTTATAATCAACACAGGAAACTCGGAAACAAAGCACTATCTTCAGCTATCACACTTCAGCTCTGTTTAAATACTACATACACTAAAAACTGATGCCAGAACATTCTATAAAATGACAGTTATAAATCCATTTCTGGACGGGAAGAGCCACATGAAAAGCATATAGGAAGATAAAAGTCAGCCTTTCAAGTGTAATATGGCACATGAATTAGTTTTACAGTAATTGTGGACCCAGTATGTTTAGTCATTATTTAATCAAAAATTTCATTAAACATCTTTTTTAATGTACATACTGAGATAACTTTGGCTATGCCTTGGTTCCTTCTGGAGGACTTGACATTTGTGAAGGTACAAATACTGCAGATAAAACATCACTGCAGGAACTACATCAAGTTCAGAGTGCTCAGGATAATTTCTATAGAAAACTAAAATTAGCTGAACTCTGGCAAAGACCCTTTAACATACAGCTTTTCTTCATTTCATTACATCCTAATAAGTAGAACTTCACTTTTGTAAATGCTATTTATATGCATTTTATTCACATATAACTTATGATTCTTTTAACTACCCATCTTTGTGGCTATAAAATTTTTCTTTCTTCTCTCTTACACCTGTTCTGCTTGCCCCTTTGTTCCCTAGAGCTTACATTTCTTCTTTAAGGGAATGTATATTCTTTTGAGAACAATTGCTGGAAAGGTGACCTCAGAAAGGGAATAGAAATATTTCTCTCTATTTTGAAAAAAATTTTTTTCCCTAGGAATATCTGTCCAATTATAGAACAGAAATTAGGAGGAAATTAGGGCATACTAGACAGAGCTTTGCTGGAAAGCATCTATTCTATGAAATCATGCCACAGTGCCATGCAGGTGTCACAAGGCAATGAGGACACAGTCACATGAGTTTTCCAGCTACCTGCCAGGGTGAGGACCATCCATGCTGGCACTTGTTCTGCCTTTTACTCCTCAGACGCCTGTGGACCTGCAGGAGCATCCTGTAAGCAGTGCAACCCAGCATCACTCTGAAGAGATGCCTTCTCTCCTTCCACAGAATCTTTAGGACTGCTATCCTCTTGAGCGATTCCTCTTTCAGCCTCCGGCTGCTCTTCATTAACACAATTAGAATTGACATCGAGTTTGCCATCTGAGAAAAAGAAAAAAAATAGTAATTTTGTTCCTACCATGTGGCAGACACTCTTCTAAGTGTTTTATGTGTATTAAATTATTTACTCGTCATAGCAACCACATGAGGTAGATTATTATCTCTATTATCATTATTTTACAAATGGGGAAACTGAGAAGAGAGGGGTTTGTACCTTGCTCAGTTTCACAGCTAGTAAAGCAGCAGAACTAGCATTTGAACGAAGGCCTCTGGCTGCAAAGCCAGGCCTTGGAATCAGGATTGTTTTCTGGGATCTGACAAAAATCTGCATTTGAATACAGTTTGCCATGAATTAGCGTGATGTCCTGGGGTAGGTAACTGCCTGAACAAGGTTGTTTCCTTATCTATAAAGTGGGGGATAATAAAGCCGATGCTACGCTTGCGGAGAATAAAGGGTTTGTAACATTTAGAATAGCGTGGCATGTGCTGATGCTAGCAACCGGGAGTTCCCATTCTATCAACAATCCGATTCTCTCACACGGCTTGTTTAGTACACGGCCAGCTGTTATTCACTGCCCTTAACACACAGGATATAGAAGTTTGGTCCAGAAAACAGGAGAAAGCCTGACTATTCTCTCAACAATTTACTTACACAATTTAATGCTGCATGAATTTAATTTTGTACAAATCATTCAATCCTAGTAATAGCATTTCTCAAGCAGGTGGTAAAGGAGACACGGTTGCTTCAGGGCTGGAGGTGGAAGTGCTTAGTATCAGAGTCACCTGGGCAACTTTTTCAAACTACGTGCACGCCCCAGAACGTACGATATATTCTCTGGGGTGGGGCATAGGAGTGAGATGGTTCTCTTCTCCAATATGTGAATCATCGCTGAAGCAACTCACTGTTTCTGAAGAAAATGAGTCATACACTTCATGAGGGAGCGAGAGGAAAAATAACAAGGAATTCACTGCCCTGACGCTTGTAGCAATTTAATCTGTGCGTTAGATCTGCAATTTAATTTGTAATTTATAAATTTACTCTGTCATTTCACCTACAGTTTTATAATTAAGACATCTAAAGGTTTCCAAAACTTAAAATCTTTGGGTAGCTATTAGGGGAAATTTAATTATTTTCTTATTCAAAAACCTTAAAATCCTTTGTGAGCAGAATGTAAACAAATAACTCATTCAGAGTCCCATCGTTCCGAGGGCAGTTTCGAGTGTCAGAATGTAGAATGTGGAATAAACTACATTCCTCAGAATTTTATGTCTTTTGTTTTCCAGGACATCTAGGCTAACTATATTCTATACAGTATCTCAAGGACTCAAAATAGCGACACATTTGAGCTTAAGTGTGATCCTCATGTTGGTCATCCCCAAGCTTCCTTGGTCCCCAGAGAAGACTCAGTTCCTGTGTGCCCTGGTTTAATATCATCTATCATTCCTCTCCCCACTGAGAAGCAGTGTGAGCTGGGTCTTTGTATACATACTGTTCTCCTCTTCACTCTTTTCTTTGGCAGCCTCCAATTGTTGCTTCTCATAAAGGTCCTTGAGATTCTTACAGATTTTCTTATGTGCAAACCAGTGTGTTTTCTGGCAGGTTTGATCGCAATATATTACCTGAAAGCAAGTGTAGGTTTATTTTCATTTCAAGAGCTGTGATTGCATGATTTTCCAATTATGACATTAAAATAAGAACTATGCTGTAAAAATATTGTTTTCTATACTTTATTTTAAAACCATGACGTGTGGATGTGTATTGATTTATATTTGTAATTTTAGCTTATACTTTATAACAATAATGGATATACAACAAATGGTCTACCAAAGACTCCAACGAATGACTTATTTAAGAACCTACTATGGGCCAGAATTGGTACAGTACAATGACAAGGAAGATACAGTTGTTGTCCCAGAGGAAGCTAGGGTCAAGAAAGAGCAGGATGTGGCAGCAGGGAGGGAGGCAGACACCTAACAACATGATTCATATCCTACTACAGAATATAGCAGCAGTGGGAGCACAGAGGAAGCAGTGACTCACTCTAGCTGGAGGGAATCAGTAGACAGAGAAATGGAAAAGAAGCTTTCAGGGTGGAGGGAATGCTTTGTACAAAAATGCAGGAATAGGGCAGTGAAGGATATATTCAAGGACAGCAAGAAGTTTGTGTAAATGGAGCTTAGATTTTTGAAAGATTATATGCCAAGCACTGTGCTAGGCCCTTATACATAGATGATGTTGTAGATTGTACTACCCATCCCAATTCTTCACTCTTCCCTGCATCCATATGCCTTCCCATGTGATTTCAAAGTTCTTTTCACTGAAGGGGAAGAGAATTGACTTTAAATTTGGCCATGTGACTTATTTTGGCCAAAGGAATGAGACAGCATGGCAATTTCAAGGCTAGACCTCAGGAGACCTCATGTGTTTCTACCTGCCCACTTTTACCTCTGCCATCACCATGAGAACATGCTCAGCCTGGCCTGCTGGTCCAAAGAGGATGAGAGACACCTGGATTAGAAGTGCCCCAGCCAACCACAAACATGGGACAAATAATAAATGATTGTTGTTTTAAGTATTGAATTTTGGAGTGTTTTTATATGCAGGAAGAGTTAACCAATATAGATGGTCTCATTTAATTCTCACACCTCTAGCCCCATTTCACACATAAGGAAACTGAGGCTCAGAGAAGCAAGTAATTAAAGGAAATGAAGCTGGAGAAGTAGGTTACAACAGAATGTGATAGGTTACAGCAGAATATGCTCAATAACTTCAACCTTAAAAATAAAAGGGAATTAACATTATCTACAGGGTAAAGTGAATGAACAGACACATACATGCATGTAATATCTGAATGTGAGGAGAACACAAATAGATATGCCCTTTACAAAGATAATTCTGGCAGAAGTGGGTTGTATAGTCCAGAGAACTTAAAGATTGGTGACAGAAGGGAGTTGTCATTTTACAAGGAAGAGTAGGTGAAGAGATTGTAGTTAAAGTCAACATCAGAAGATTTAAGATTGCATATTTATAAATTGTCCTATTCTAGGTTCTTATATCTGCACCAGCCTCAGTCCCCTACGGATAATCTTTCTCTTCTTTTCTCATAGTCATTCATTCATTCACTCATTCACTCATATTCTTTCTTTCTTTGGGGTGGTCAGCATAGCAGGTGGGGCAGCCTGGGAGTTTGGCAGAAGATAGGGCATAGAACTACATTTATCTCGTAGCTCTTTTCCAAAATTACTTTTAAGTGTTATATATAATACTTTATATCTAATGTATACCTAATGTACCAGAATTTATTAGAAAACTAATGTCAATCATTATATTTACAGAATATTAAAACTCAATCATCAACTTGGATGAAATCTAAACCAGATGTCAATGAATTTAAAAGAACTTCATTCTTACCATTTTGCATACCGAGCATCTTTTACTTGCTCCCTTTTCTCCGCAGGTAGTGCAAAATTCAACATCCACAAAACCCACCTGACCCGTGATGGCTTGGGTAAGTACAGAGAATGCAGTGGGGTCAGAACCCTAGAGTGGGTATACAGAGGAGAAAAAGCACTCTGAAATCACCATGCAAAGACTACAGAGCCGACACTCCATGAACCATGTTGTCTACAAGCAGACACACAAGTGACAAAATAATTAAGGCTAGAGATTACACAGACTTCATCTATGACAAAATGATAAATACTCTTTTAAGTATACCTCTTTCTACACAAAGTAAATGGGAGGTAAGTCATAGATCAAAATATTTAAACAGAAAAAATTGGTCCTATTCTAGAATGAAAGTATTTTTCAATTAGGATTATTTAATAAGCCCACAAAGATTTCAGATATAGGACAATGAACTCAGGGTGGAATTTTCTTCTGAGAATTGACATCAAGACAATATACATATTCTATGGGATAATTCATAAGACAAACTTAATTCTTAAAATTTTGGTGTAATTTAAGTATTTTAAAGACTTTATATATTTAAAACTATTTACTTGATGTGGGTCTGCAATTCTAACAGTTAAAAATTATCACCTCTATTATTGAAATGTTCCAAACTCTTTAATTAGAGATAGACATGTGATTGCATGAGGGTATTAAGAAAAACCAAAAGCGTGAAAATTATTATAGGGCTACTGAAAATTAGAATCGGTTGCTAATGAGGATTTATAAAAATTTTTTATGTAGAAAATTATAAGGGTGAATATTTACCTGTCTGAGATGATGCTATTAAAACTTCGTTAGAGCAAGCAAAAATAATTACAGGTCCACAAATCAACAGAGTATGATATATGCAACAGCTGTCTTACTCCCAACAGTTCTTGTTTCTGTGTTTTTCAAATTTACTTATTTATTCCCAATTAAAATTTTGCCAATTTTCATAATTTTAATTAATTTTCACTTGAGTATTTGCTTTTTCTTCCTAAGAATATTTAATATTATCTTAAAATTGTACATAATAGAGCTTTACAAATACCACCTTGAAACACTGTTTTATACTGTTCTGTATACTCAAGATAGTCAAACAAAACACTCAAAAGATTTAAGAAGTATTTTTAAAGTAGCACTCATTTTGAAACTGTCATGTGCCTCCTGAAAACAAATAATGATGACTGGGTTTCTTTTCATGTTAAAGTGCTAAGAATTTTCTTTTGGAATGAAGATAGTATAATGGTGAGAAAAAAAAATAGATGAAATGAAACCTCAGATACTAGATATTTCAGTTAATAATTTCATCAAGAATAAAGGTCTATGGCAGTTGTGCTCAAACGATGGTGCGCATCAGATAACTTGTTAAAAATTCAGATCAATGCTGCCATCTCATACCTTCCAAGTTAGAATCTCTAAGGATGTGGTCCATGTACCAACATTACCTCAGGTAATTCTGAGATATACTAACAGTTAGAGAATTACTGGTACTTAATGTTACACTGAACACTTATTAATCTATAGAATTCTTTTGCCTCAAAAGTAGAGTACTGGATCAGATAGCCTGGTCCACAAATCAACAGAGTACAATATATTCAACAGACTTTACAACAATTACATTTCCATGTTCAGATATTTTTTCACAAAAGTGACTGAGATATGTTCAAAATTTCCCCCAAAATGGGACTTTTGTGAGAGTCAGAACACAGTAACATTCTCACGGATGTAACCAAAGGTCAAACTAGCATGGCTGTTAACGTAAACTATTGCTTCAGAAAAAAACTGATGGTACAGCTGAGTAACCACATGGAATCTTCCTAGTCACCACGGGGTGACAAAAACTCTCTTGCTATACAAAATCTCGCCATCTACTTTGTCAAATAAGAATCTGTTTAGGCATCAGGGCTCTGCCCATGGAAGATATTCAGCCTAAAAACAAACAGGATGCTTTATTCCATGTATCCTATAAAATCAGAGACATTAGCTAGCCTTCCAGAAGTTAAAATATACACTATCAACTGATAAAGCAAAGTATCTCTAACAGCATAATTTGTTATACTGCTGGAACAACATTTCTTAAATGTAGCCAAGCCTCACACTTCCTGCTGAACTTTGTGACACACAGAAGCCAGAGTTCCACACTAGGCAGAGAGAATCAAAACCTGTGCAGGAGGGGAGCTGGCCCAGTGACACAGTGGTTAAGTTTGTGCACTCCGCTTCAACGGCCTGGGGTTTGCGGGTTTGGATCCCAGGCATGGACCTGCACATCGCTCATCAAGCCATGCTGTGGTGGCGTCCCACATACAAAAATAGAGGAAGACTGGCACAGATGTTAGCTCAGGGACAATCTTCCTCAAGCGAAAAGAGGAATGTTGGCAACAGATGTTAGCTCAGGGCCAATCTTCCCCACCAAAAAAAACAAAAAACCTGTGCAGGAGGGTCTAGACATCAGCACTGTCAGAAAGTGCCTTACGTGCTCGTCATGGCAGCAAGCTGTGAGAACCACCGTGTTACGGGAAGAGGCTAGCATTGCTTCAGAGGCTTATGAACTTGCAGTATAATGAAACCCATTAGGTAGGAAACAATGGCTATCTGGGACACTCATAACCACAACCCTTCCAGATAAAGTTTTCCAGAAAGAAGAATATACAACTCTTAAAGAACAAAAATTTTTAAAGAGAGAAGTTTTTCTAAAATGCATTAAATACTATCTTATCTTTATTAATACATCTTTTCTCAATGACTCAGATCACTAGGATAAACATTAATCACTATATTCCATGAACTCTAACTATGCTATTCTATGATACAGGACCAAGATGAATTGTGACCCCTACACTGACCTGCTTTGATTTTTTTAAGTACTCTGTGCTGCTATTTTTAGTTTTTCTGTTTTCCCTCTTGAAGGTAGAATGTCAGCTACCACTTATTAGTGCTGGAAATACCCCATCGCAGCCACCGCTAGTTGCCTCTCTGATAGCCATTCCCCCAACTTCTTTACTAAAAGAAGTATAATTTTGTTCAGAGCAGCAGTGTTTAGACCAGCCAAAAATATGCATTTCCCCAGACGCCTGTGCAGTTAAGAGTGGCCATGTGGCACAGACAGAGGGTTTGTGGGAGACCTTATGCTTTCCAGCTATAAACCTCTTTCCTTTTCTTGCCTGCCTGGGATAGGAATGTGAGCTTGGAGGAAGAGCATCAGATGCCTTGCAATCATGAGGTCATAAGCATAAGTACGATAATTTATACAGCTAAGGAATATTGGGTGGAAAAATAGGAAAATGTTTGGGTCCCCACTCCTTTTTTTTCTTTTGGTGAGGAAGAATTACCCTGAGCTAACATCCACTGGCAATCTTCCTCTTTTTTTTTTGCCTGAGGAAGATTAGCCCCGAGCTAACATCTGCGCCAATCTTCCTCCATTTTGTATGTGGGATGCCCCCACAGTGTGGCCGATGAGCGGAGTAGTAGGTCCACGCCTGGGATCCGAACCCAAAAACCCAGGCTGCCAAAGCAGACGTGAGGAACTCTAACCACTTGGCAACAGGGCCGGCCCCCTCAATCCATTTTTGAGCCACTGTGCCAGATCTGGTCTGCCTACCTTTGGGCTTCTGAGTATATGTGAATAAACAAACCCTTATCTATTTAATTCATGGTTGGTTGGCATTTGATATGTGCAACCAAAACACATTCATAATTGATAAATCACTCTCATAATTTGCTAACTTTAATCTTTCACAAGCTTAAACCCCAAGTAGCCAAGTATATTAAAATAAGGGTAAAGACTCTCTGTGTGAAATCATGGAGAGCTCTCATGCATAAATCGATGCATGAACTTAATGAGATTAGCTTGTCTGCTCAGGTCTTTCTTATTTCACAGTTCTGAATAGGTAAAGTCTTAATGTATACAGGAGCACCTGGAACCCATTTCTAGCCCTGAGTTTTCACACTGAGAATGCTATAACAGCCTAGAAGAGGCAAAGAAGAATTGAAATTGCCAGAGGGAGGGAGGAAGCCATGGATGGAACTAGAGTCAGGATCAACTTCTTGCCTAACAGACAAAGGCTGATAAAGGATTTGATTGAAATGTATAAACGGATGACTGGTGTAGATGAGGTGAACAGAAACCTACTCAAAATAGGGAAGGCAGGGAGTGCCTTACAAAATACTTCTTCAATAAGTATACAACAAAAAGGCAGTAAGTAATTCAAACAACAGATAATAAAGTTAACAAAATTCACTTCCCCTAGCTGGGAAGTATAAACAGATTTTTTTTAAGTATGGAAAATTTACAAACAGAGGCATTAAGGCAGAATATAAGAAGCTGGTACATACGTGGAGATTGTTTATCAGGACATACAATGAGCCTTCCATGACTCATCCCTTCACATCCCCACTGACCGGAGACCATCAACCTGACAATCAATTCTTTCATCTACTGCAGGACTTTGTACTGGTTTTTCACAAGCTACAAGTGACATGTGTGTATCTGTATTACATAATGCATGTGTACCCACCTTTACAGGTTTCACAGAGATATTTAAAATTAAGTTTCCACTATAACCATCTACATTCCAACATAGGGAAATATTGTTTATTAAACCATGAGCTATATAAATGGAAGAAAAGGATCGAGAGAGGGGAAATGGATAAACAGCAATAGGGTTAAGAGGCAAATCTATTTCCACATTTGCTCCTCAAAATTTTCTAAAATAGGGGCAAACCCCATGGCCTAGTGGTTAAGTTCAGCACACTCTGCTTTAGCAGCCTGGGTTTGGTTCCCAGGCTCGGACCTATACCAATCATTGGTGGTCGTGCTGTGGCAGTGACCCACATATGAAATAGAAGAAGACTGGCACAGATGTTAGCTCAGGGTGAATCTTCCTCAAGCAGAAGAAAAAAAAAAAAATTTCTAAAATAACTGTTTCTTTATTAAATAAATAATTCATGCTAAAGAGAACTTGCCTTTAATTGTACAAAATATGGTAATTAGGTCTTACTGACAGAGTTAACTTAGTTATGAGGAACCTTACAATTTCAACCGGAGAAATGCTTCGCACCAGCTGCTGGAGGAGGGTAGCTTCACAGTAAGGAAATTTTCTGATACTTTCTCTAATGATCTTTTCTTGGTATATCGGAAAGCCATCAGAAGCTCGGCCTCTTAATAAGCTGAAAGATATTTTCAAAAAAGTAACTGGAGTTGAATCACTAAGCATTTCCTCCCAGCTGAACCCATGAAATTTAGTAGTTTCTTCTTTGCTACTTAAGAGTTTCATTGCCTCTTCAAATCATGATGATAGACTCAATTCAAATTTCTGTTCTACCTGCATGTTAGTCTAGTCCTTATCAGGCTTAGGGACCGGGCGAGGTATTTATATGACCCCTATCATAAAACACACTAAACGCTGTTGTCAGATTAGCTAGTTACTTATTACCACGTCAGTTATTTGTACAAAGAATGAAAACTCTCATCAAGTCACACCCTTCTGACTTAGTTCACTTTTCTCAGTAAAACTACTGGAGAATTTAATCCCTGGTGGTCAGAGAACAAGGGTAACACCAGCTCTCCCAGGTATAGGAAGGGAGATATACTGAGTGCCATTATGAATCCAGAGCAGCCACCTATGGCATAGCCTACCCATCCCCCCTCAAATTAGGGCCACTTTCCAGCTGTATGATCGTACACATGCTATTTAACCTCTCCAAACCTCAGATTCCTCACCTATAATTGGGGGTAACAAAAGCATTGTTGTAAAGAGTATAGATTGAAATAATCACTCAATCTAAGTATAATATTGTCCTTTGTTTCTTGCAGACTAAATGTGATCCCAACAATAACAATTGTTCTTAAAACGCTTAATTTTTAAATCTATAATAAGGCTTCAGATAATAAAACATTATCCATTTGAGTGTATTTTATACATGACATGGTAAAAACAGTACCTTTTGATTAGAGTGTCCAGTTTATTCTCTCCATCTTTTAAGAAGTTAATGCATTTCTGAAAGATACAGCTGATGTAATGCATTTTCATAGCCAAGACTTCATTCATGTCTCTTTGCTTCATACATTTCTCACAAATCAAATCCATCACCTTGTAGCATTTATTCAGTGCTGCCTCTTCTGCCAGCAGAGGATTCTCATTTATAAGCATCACGATCTAAAAGAAATTCCAGTGAGCTCAGAAATTCCATGAGAGATTTTTCCATGTACAAATCAGGAAGTAAGTTTTGGTTGATTTCAAAAGATTACCAACTAAAGTTTTTTCTTACAGTTATATATTTACTATCTTAAATGCAAATTGCCACTGATCAAAGTTATAAAACTAATACAGAAGGAATCTCTTGAACTCTGCATATCAAAGTCATCATGTGACCCGCCATCTAGCTAAACCAGGGTGTTAGCTGGCCACTCAGAGTCACCGTTTTACTGTCTCAGTTGAAAGTACTTATAAACATGGCATATTTACCCATCCTTTATAAACAGAACCAAATTACCAAGCAATCACTACTTTTAGTAAACATTACTGAGCTTTTACAAGTTCATGGCTAGGAGAACTGCAATACTCACTAATTCTTTTTAATGATAAGGAAATGAGATTTTTACAGAAATAAGTCTAAAAATAAAAGGTGTATTGCTTTCCAATTAACTACATTTCTCTGTGGAAATTCTCCTAATATGCTTCTAATCATCTATGATAATGAAAACAGGTCAAAGAGGAAAGTAAAAATAGTTTAAAAGGAGGAATATTACAGAGTTATCAACTCTGATGCCTTATGAGTCCCACACTTCCCATATATGCACAGATTAAGCTCAAATTTAGTGTAATGAGGAGTATTTTTTTATTAGCTTTGTTATAGGGTAGATCACCTGCAGTAGGTCTACACTGGACAGCTGTAAAAATCCACAGTGACATAGCGGTAATGTACACATATGTGTAATGTGGGCACAGTTGTAGGGACGGAGCAGAAAGTCATTCAGTGTTTGTTAACCTACATCTTACAGCTAATACCTATCCCAGGTAATGTCAGGGAACAACAGGTAGCAGATTTCATGAATGAGATCCTTTCTTTAGACATGAAGAAAGATAATTTGCTAACTTAAGTAAAACCCATGCCTAGCCTCCTACTTGGAAATTTAACATAGATTAAGTGTTCTTGTGAAATTAAAATATGATTTTTACTTATTTTTGATGCTACTAGACTGATATAATCTAGTATTTTACTTAAATATAGCACTAAATAATAAATTATTATACTTCATGAAGTATAATCAAAACCCTTATTGGTAAACTTGCTGACAATTTTCCCTACCATAACATATATCAAAAATTAACTGTGGTAAGGAAGAAAAGACTCATTAATTACCTGTTTATATTTCTGCTGTCAACTGCAATCATTTGAAGCTGTTTGCTCAATATTTTTATATACAGCGTTTATAATCAAAGCGTAAGATTTTAACACAAGTCAGACTTCTTTAAAAAATTTCAAATAGAACCTAGATTAATGATTTTTTGTTTAAGATATTCAACTTTGTTTTATAATATACAGCAACAAACACAAAGAAAAATGACACATAACCACAGCTCTACTATGAGCTTACTGAAACATTTACATAGCTGCACACAAAAGAATAATATTTGAACTAATTTCCTTCCTCTAATCTCTACAGCATTATAAAGGAAATTCTTATTAGTAATTATTGAGGAGGAATAAATATAGTCCTGTAGGCATAAAAGCCAGATATATCTCATCTCACAAAGAGGGACTACCATAGAATACGTTTATACAGAGGCATTTTGTATTCTTTTTATTTTTTACATCCCATTTTTAAAAAATTACTAACAACAATTCTGGGCTTAAAAATCACGTTAATTATCAAAGACAGGATCATGTGTGCACATTTGCCTCCTGACCACTTAGACACGCTGCTCAACTCTGTTGTCATTTTTCCTGTGATTCTGTTTTTCTCCTGTATAACCTCTCTATTCTGGGCACCAACACAATTCCCCAAGTCTCTTTTGAAAACAAACATCCTTATTGCTATAGCAGCCACTTAACCTTGACACAAGTGGAGCTGTGTTAGGTGCACTGTAGCAAAACGGTGAATTGTGTATTGAGGAGGACTTCTGTGCTTATTTTATTTTATTTATTTATTTTTTTTAAAGATTTTATTTATTTATTTATTTTCTCCCCAAAGCCCCAGTAGATAGTTGTATGTCATAGTTGCACATCCTTCTAGTTGCTGTATGTGGGACGCGGCC